GGGTCCCAGGGCAGGTGAGGGGGGGTCTGACCCACCCCAGCGAAGGGAAAGGAGGTAGGGGGGCAGCTCAGATGGAGCATCCATAAACCAAAGTAAAGCCTCCATTTGCTGCCAAAGGGCTGATGGCTCTTTTGGGAGAGCCTGGGGGAAGGATTGGGGAGGGGGTGGCACTGCCCCTGCCCTGAGCGGCGCTGCCACCCTCACCTGCCCCAGGTAGGGCCCGTAGGACTCGGTGCTGGCGATGCCGCCGTGTTTCTTGATCCACTCGTAGGCTCGCCACTCCTCGCCCCCATCGCAGGCGTAGTTCCCGAAGCCCCAGGAGCAGTCGATGAGGACTTGTTGGGACAGGGGGGTCAACACGCCAGTCTGGGGGGGATGACATGCTGCAGGGACGGGGCCAGGCACTCTCAGGGCACCCCAGCTGTCCCCGTGGGGCATGGCCCCACTCTCACCTTGAGGAAGAGGGCACCCTCCATCGCGCCCGTCGTAGCAAAGCTCCAGCAGGACCCGCAGACAGCCTGGTCCTTCACGGGGGTCACGGCGCCTGGGGACAGCGGGATGGGGACACGTTTAACAGAGCAGTGCAGGGTGCTGGCTGTCCCCATGCAAACCCTGGCATGCACAGCTGACCCCCAGCCTCATGCACGCTCTGGCCTTGCATGCCAGTGGCACCAGCTCCCTCCTCACCATACAGCCGCCAGTCGAGGCTCTCAGGCAGGATGAGGCCGGCGTAGAGCTCAGTGGAGAAGGGCTGCCCGTTGTTGGGAGCCCCGCTCCGACGACGGCCCCGCAGGGCGGCCAGCTCCTGGGGTGTGCGGTCAGCCAGGTGGTTCAGCGCCAGCGTGTAGGAGAGCGCGGCGCGGTTCCTCGAGTGCACGAACCTGCGGCAGAGCAGCGATGCTGCGAGAGGGGAGCGAGGAGACCCGCGCTGGCTACTCCATCCCTGAGCCCCCCCAGCCCATCCATCCCCCTGGCATCCCATACCGCATGTTATGGATGAAGGTGTGTTTGCGATGTTCATGCTCCTCCTCGTTGCTATAGCTCTTCCCAAACCACTCCTTGTAGCGGTGGAAGAGGCGGTGGTGGACGTGGTCCGTCTCTGGCACTCTCCCCACAAACTCCTGCATGGGGTTGGCTACGATGCGGTGCTCGGGGCCGGCCACGGGCCACTGCTCACACTGCACCCCTGCCACGAGGAACGGGCAGCAGCTGATGCCTCCTGAGTGGGGACGGGCTCTCCTGGCCCCCCAGCTGGGATGCACGGCATGATCACCCCCAAAACCATTGGGGCTGTCCATCCCGTATAGACATGTGCATGCAGGGGGGATCTGCACCCACACCAGAGCTGGCTCCCGAGCACTCACTATCCCACCCAGCACCCTGCACAGAGGAGCCAGCACTGGGAAAGCACCCGCATCACCCCAGCTATCAACATTAATTCGATTTCTCCCCTGCTTTTTTCCCAGCCAAACTGATTCACCCAAATTATCAGGCTCTTGCAAAAAATAACCCCAAAACCAAATTAAAAAGGTGGAAGGAGTGCTGCATTTCGGTGGCAGCACCGGCTGCAGGCTGGGCTGTGGGGTGGCCGGGGACACTCACCCTCAGGGAGGTGGAAGACGCTGGGGGGGAAGCGGTGGCTGAAGGAGGAGTAGTCGATCTCGTACTTGTCGTAGTGGGAGCCCAGGAGGCTGTTGAAGCCGTGCACCTCGTAGTGCAGGGGCACGGGGCCGCGGGCAGAGCTGCCCACTCGCAGCGTGTAGACGTTCTTCTTGTGACCCCAGTAGGAGATGTTCTGCCAGACGGCGCAGCGCTGCCCGCGGAAGCGTTCCTCCCGCACCCGCTGGGCACAGCGCACGTGTTGGGGACCGGGATGCCACGCCAGCACCGCCACTGTGGTGGTGGGCACCCCACAGTGATGGCACCTCATCCTGCATCATGCCACGCTGGATGCAACCCCTCCATCACCCATGGCCGCAAACCACCTTGTATTTACCCATTCCCAGCCAGGGAAGGCTGCTCTGCCCTTGTAGGGAGGTAGCCATCAGACACCCTCTACCCATGGAAGTCCCTTGTCCCCTCCCCTGCCCCATCCTTCATCCTGGACAACCATGCACAGGGCTCACCTTGAAGTTTTCCAGGCTGGGGAAGACGCTCTGCGGGGCGATGAGGTCCCCGTCGGTGCCGTTGATGCGGAAGCACTTGCGGACGTTGACCTCCGTCTCGGTGGTCTCGGGTGTCACCTTGAAGCTGGCGCCGAAGGGCTCAATGGACCCGAACTGGTAGGTGACCACTTGGCCTGGGGACAGGGACAGCACTAAGGTCAAGCCAAGCCCTCAGGTCCTGGCATGGTGATGGCTTGCTTCCAGGGCTTTCCTGGGGCACCCAAAGGTGCAGAAGGTGGGGGATAGTGAAGGGTCGAGGGGATGGACCCCTTTCTGCACCCACCGCCGTAGTATTCGATGCGGCTCTTCCCCCCGGTGAGGTTGTACCAGGCTTCAAAGGGCTCCCTGATCTCCGCGTAGGGCAGGCTGATGACTCCTGGGGGCACAGAGGAGCTGGGCTCGGGGGGCCGCAGTGGGACAAGCCCCAGGGACACCCCCTATCCCCCTGCCCCGAGCCTGCAGCTGGGAGGGGAGCACGGGTTAGGCAGGGAGGACCCCGGGACCCCACAGCATCACCCCCCTTCTCCCACCTGTGGCCACCACCGGCAGCACCCCACGGCAGCGATGCACCCCAGCACCCAGGTTGCACGGGGGAATTGGAGCCTCCTCGGCTCCGGCACGTCGGGTGGGAGCTGGTGGCTGGAGGTGCGGGACCCCCTTGGGCAGCACGGCGGTGACACCGTCCCAGCAGGGTGCCCCATCCCCAAGCAGTACCTGTGACATGGTAGACGTCCCCAAATGTGGGTGTCTCCAGAGAAGCCTTGCACTCTGCTCCTAGAAGAAAAACAAAACCAAAACTCAAACCCCTTTACGCTGCTAATTACCCAACTCTCCACAGCGGGGGCTGGCAGCGGTGCTGGTCCCTGGCTCACTGTCCCCCAGGAGAGGGGGAGAGACCCAGGGGAGCCTGTGCTGGTGGCAGGGCTGGGAGGGCTCCCACCTGCCCAGGCAGGGCAGAGACCAGGGGTCCCCAAGCCAGGGGTCCCCGCTCCTCCGCCAGCCCTCTGGCTGACCCAGAGCCCTCACACACATCCCTGCTCTCCCTGGGGTGCAACCAGCTCAGGGGCACCCCAAAGCCCCAACGCACACCCCAGGGTGTGAGGGGCAATCCTATGCACCCCCCCTATGCCACATGCAGAGCGTACCCACTGCCCCTGCACTGCTCTGGGCATGCAGCCCCCTCGCAGGGCGAGGACCTCCACAGCAGCCCAGGACCACTGCAGTGCCCAGCCTAAGGGGTACCATGGCATCACCCCACGATGGGGGCACAGCATCCTTCCCCCCCTCTCCCCGAGCTCGGCCAGGGCATGTGCCCACCCAGTAGCACAGCAGCCCCCAGCACCAGCAGCCACCCCAGCTCCTCCATTGTGTGCACCCCAGCCCACGCTGCTGCCCTGTACCCACGGGTGGCTTAAATACCACTGGTGGGCGGGCAGGGAGCTGCAGGCAGCCAACGGGCAAAGCCCCGTCCTTCCCTTGGCTGGGGCTAGACCAAGGGGGAGGCGTGGTTTTATGTTGCCCCGCCATGGGCACCCATGGGTGCCTTTCCCACCCACACCAGAGTGGGTGCCGATGCCGTGTGCTTGCAGGGCTTGGGGTGGGGGGAGCAGGGTTGGACGCAGACCCCTGTGGGACCCCATGGCAGCATCATCCCCCTGGGCAAGGGTGGGTGCCCCATGGATTGGGGGCTTGGTGATGGGTGCTGGGGGTGTCCCTGTGCTCCCACCCACCTTGCAGCCAGGCTTTGCTGCATGCGGTGTGCTGCGAGCAGGGGGAGCATCTGCAGCAACCAGGGGCAATGAGGTGCGGTGAGACCCTGCCAGGCACCCCATAGCCCCTCTGGGTGCCCCCTGCCCTCTTGGGACAGGAGCCAAGGTGTCCCCACCAAAGGCAGCACCGGGCAGTCCTGGGGAGATGGGGGCCATTTACATCCCTGCATCCTTCCAGATACACCATCAGGGCAAGCCCAGGACTGCAATTAGAGGGTTTTACTTGGAAAAAGGGGAAAGATGCAGACGAAATGTCAGGAGCTCCATAGAAAAACAGACCCGGGGAGGAAAGCAGAGTGGCCTTCACCCCTCTGCTTGCTGTGTGTCCAGCTGGCCACCAGCCCAAGGTGACAGCGAGCGCCTGCGTGGCCGCCGGAGCCCGAAACAAAGTTGATAAGGGCTCGCCGTGGGCTGGCTGCACGCACCACCAGGGACGAGTCGAGCTGGATTCAGCTGCACCCCTAGGTGCAGGGCTGGGCTGATGCACCCCGTGCTGCAGCACCTCTCCAGGGACCACCACCACTGCCATCGCAGCACACCGGCATGGATGGAGGTGCATCCTGCCCCAAGGACATACGAGCAAAGATGGGAGACCACCAGAGTCAGGGTGGAGAGACCTTCCCCCCCTGTTTGCAGGATCCTTGTGTGCTGACACCGTTCTCCCAGAAGGGCTTGAGTCCAAACTAGGAGCACCCAGGTAAGCCGTGGCCACGGCGTAAAGTGTCTTTCCGTGGAGGGGAGCAGCCCCATGGGGTGAAGGGGAGCCTGGCTTGTAGCATTGGCAAACACCGCCGGTGACATCCCCATCCGTAGCCACAACAGGGACCCGGGCAGTGGGGCAGAGGGTGGATGCCTTCTCCCCTCCCCAACACCCCCACACCAGGAATTTCTTGTCTCAGCAGAAATCGCTGGGGTTGTTTGTGCTCCACCTCGAGAGATAGGGCTGGAAAAGCCGCTCCTCTCGCCCTGGGTGTCTGGGACTGTCTGCGAGAACCAGCTGGTTGTGCCAGGCAGGCACCATCCCCTCCCTAGGAGGCTCCTGCTGTCCCATGGGACAAAGAAAACAGTTTTTCCAGGGTCTTTATTGGCAAGCCCACAGCTGGGTCCCCATGCTGCCCCTTGTCCAGCACCCCATGGCCCTGTCCCACCGTGTCCCCAACTTCCTCCTGCGTGATGGCTCACACCAAAGGTGCTGATCCAGGGATGGGTGCCGAAAGCATCACTGAGGGCTCTCCCCACAGAGCTGAGAGGTGGCTCAGGCCAGGATGGGGTAGGTGGCTTCAGTGGCCACACCACAGTTGTTGTCCTTCATGGCCATGAGGATGTAGCCGTCGTTGCCCCAGTATGTGGACCAGGAGTTCTTGATGAGCCAGTAGGTCTCTCCCTGCAGGACCCCGTAGCCCACAGCCAGCACCGCGTGGTCCAGCGCTCCCGGCTCGTTTGCTGCAGGGAAAAACATGGGAGATATTTTTTGTCTGGAGAGCATCCCTGTCTGGAGAGCATCCCTGCTCCCAGGGCTGCCAGCCACGCTGGGGCCAGTTCCCTCCTCAACCCCTGCCCAAGCTGCTCAAAACCGAGGAGGGGATCTCAGTGTCCTGGCATCTCCCTGGGCACCCAGGTCCTCCTGTGCCCCGTGTGCTACCCGACTCACCGCACTTGGGCTCATAGTAGATGCCGTTGGAGTAGAAGGAGAAGGTCTTGTGTGAGGCGTCGATGCTGACAGCCACGGGGCCGTGCTTGTAGATGGCAGCTTTGACCGCCGTGATGTTGCCCGAAGTGACGTTGACGTAGCCTGTGATCTTGGCCAGCATCTCAGACTGGTTGTAGTGGCACAAGCCGTTCTGCAGCACCCAGGGGACACACACACCTGTGTCATCAGGTGCCCCCAGCTCCCCTCGCTGGGACCCTGCCCACCCTGGCTGCCTCTGGGCAGCTCTGCTCTGATGCAGGGAGTGATCGGGGACTCAGGCTGTGACAGCATCCTGGCCCTGACCCCTCTGTCCTCCCCTACCCACCATGGTGGGATGTTTTCCCAGTTGCTGCAGGGACACAGCATGGCCCACACGCAGCACGGGGAGCTGGCTCTGCACCCCAAGCCCTGGGGGGGCTGTTGCCCGTGTCTTGCAGCCATGTCCCTGTCCCCGGGCAGCCCTGCTCCATCCTTGCACCCCAGGGTACGGAGGGACCCATGACACCACCCATGGGTGGAGAAGCCTTGTCCCTGTTTTGCAAGAAGAAACTGAGGCACGTGGTGATGAAACTGCCTGGCTGAGCCCTGAGGCTTGGCTTTAGACTGGGCTTTGAACTGCAGGGAGCTGGGTGCCTTGGGGACGAGGTGACATCCCCATGTCCCAAGCCCATTAGCACCTCTGACCCATCCTAGTTGGCCCCACCATGGCTTTAAAGCCCCAGGGGTCACATCCTGACACCTGGGGGACCCCGGCAGGGACATGAGGCCACCCTCACCTGCCCCTTGTAGGTGCCGTAGGACTCGGTGCTGGCGATGCCGCCGTGTTTCTTGATCCACTCGTAGGCTCGCCACTCCTCGCCCCCATCGCAGGCGTAGTTCCCGAAGCCCCAGGAGCAGTCGATGAGGACTTGTTGGGACAGGGGGGTCAACACGCCAGTCTGCGGGGGGATGACATGCTGCAGGGACGGGGCCAGGCACTCTCAGGGCACCCCAGCTGTCCCCGTGGGGCATGGCCCCGCTCTCACCTTGAGGAAGAGGGCACCCTCCATCGCGCCCGTCGTAGCAAAGCTCCAGCAGGACCCGCAGACAGCCTGGTCCTTCACGGGGGTCACAGCGCCTGGGGACAGTGAGATGGGGAGTGAGAGGCTGGGGTGGCACCAGGGGATGAGGGCAAGTGGAAGGGAAACTGAGGCAGGAGTCAAGGACTCGCTGTGCTCCCAGAGGCAGCGCAGCCAGGGCTTGGTGCTAAAGCGGGGCGGGGGGGCAAATGCACCAGGAAACCTGTGGGACCCCTGCCCTTAGGTTGGGTCAAGCTCTGGGGTTGTCAATCCCAGCTGATGGGGACATGAGGGGAAGCCTGATTTGGCACCCCCTTACATCTGGGGCACCAGACTGAACAAGGGCCAAGTGCCAGTCGAGCTGCCTCTTGCTGGATGAGCCCTTCCTCCATCTGCCAGTTGGTGAGCAGAGCAGGGACCATAGGGAAAATGTGGGTCCCAAGGGACAGCGCAGCCCCACCGGGTCCCCAGCGCAGAGACGGAGAGCAGGGCAGCTCGGTTGGACTTTGCGCTGGCCCGGATGAGGAGGGCTCACACCTTCCTCATCACAGCCTCACACCACCCCGCCGGCGAGACCCCCGTTCCCCCGACCCCGTACCTACCGTACATGCGCCAGTCGAGGCTCTCGGGCAGGATGAGGCCAGTGTAGAGCTCGGTGGGGAAAGGCTGCCCGTTGTTGGGAGCCCCGCTCCGACGACGGCCCCGCAGGGCGGCCAGCTCCTGGGGCGTGCGGTCGGCCAGGTGGTTCAGCGCCAGCGTGTAGGAGAGTGCGGCGCGGTTCCTCGAGTGCACGAACCTGCCGCCGCGGCAGGGATGGTATCAGCCGGCACCGACGCCATCTCCCACCGCAGCAGTGGTGCAACCCCCCCGGGGATGAGGAGCACCCCCAGGGGGTCGGCATCCCCCCATCTGCCTGTACCTCATGTTGTGCACAAAGATGCTCTGCCTGTGCTCCAGCTCCCGTGCAGAGCTGTACCGCCGCCCCAGTCGCCTGCGGTAGTGGTGGAAGACCTCGTGGGCCCAGGGCTGGTGCCGTCCCACCAGGTCTTCCATGGGGTTTGCCAGCACCCGGTGCTCCGCCGTGCTCCCCGGCAGCACCCCGCACTTCTTCGTCTCTGGGGAGCAAGGAGGGGATGCCATCAGCCCGAGCCCCAGGGTCAGGATGGGGGGGCCCAACCCAGCTCACCATTGATGGGGAGGTCGAAGATGGAAGGGGGGAAGCTGTTGTCGAAGTCGGTGTAGGCGATCTCGTACTTGTCATAGTGGGAGCCCAGCAGGCTGTTGTAGCCCCGCATCTCGTAGTGGACGGGGGCCACCCCGCAACTGGAGTTGGTCACCCATAGGGTGTAGACGTTCTTCTTCTGCGCCCAGCGGGTGACGTTCTGCCAGACGGCGCAGTACCGGCCCCGGTAGTACTCCTCCCGCAGGAACTGGGGGGGGACATGGCATCAGGGAGATGGGGGGCTTTGGGTGGAGACCCCCCCAACGCATGCTTCTCCCCACCCAGCCCCTTTGCAGGAGCCCATTGCTCCGGGTGCATGTACAGCACCTTGCACCAGCCTGTACCGGGCTCTCAGGCTGGATCCAGCAGCTACGTAGCCATTAGCACTCAGCCATGCATGGGATGGAAAGCAGGGCAAGAATTTGGGGTGCAACACAGGACAGACCCCCCCTGTCTAGCTCAGCAATGCCCTGGGGACGCCCTACTGTGCACAGTTCTGTATGTGCACCCATAGCGGGGGGGGCCTGGCTGCACACCCCTCCAAAAGGCTCCAGGTTTTTCCTGTGTTTTTCCAAGCTCTCGCCCTGTGGGCACGCGTCCAGCTCAGTGTCCAGCTTGGTGACAGCTCGCTGTCCCCGCCGCTTACGTGCTGTACCCCTCCTGCTGCACCCAGCCCTGCTGGAGACTGGGGCCGGCGGGAGCTGAGCCGCCATGCAGCAACTTGCCCAAGCCATCCCGAAACGCCGGGCGTTCGTGTGGGCTGCAACACGTCCCAACACGGCTGCCAGGGTTGGGAAAGGAGCCAGGAGTCCGGCCCCAATCCGGGTGGGGAAGTGACCCTCCCTGCGCCCTGGGGTGCGGGGGCATGTCCTAGCCTGTCCCAGCACCCTGCACCCCCTGGGATGGAGAGGAGCACCTCCAGCTGCCCAGCACCCCCACCCAGAACCTGAAGATGCTCCAGGCAGGGGGTCGGATCCAGGCTCGGGCATTTCTCACCTTGAAGCCATCAATGCTTGGGAAGACGCTCTGAGCCTTGACCACGTCCTCCTTGGAGCCGGGCAGCTGGAAGCATTTCCTGGTGTTCACCTCCTTCTCGGTGGTCTCTGGCGTGATCTTGTACCGCATCCCGTAAGGCTTCACCGCAGCCAGCTGGTAGGTTATCACTTGCCCTGTGTCAGTAGGAAGGGGAAACTGAGGCATGGCGGTCCTGCCCGCATCCTCCCTTTGCACAGAGGTGGGACCGGTGCGGGACGGGCACAGCCCGGAGCGGATGGATGCCCGCCTGCTTACCCCCGTAATACTGGATCCGGCTCTTGTTTCCCGTCAGGTTGTACCAGGCTTCGAATGGCTCCTCGATCTCGGCGTAGGGCAGGTTAATGACACCTGCGAGGCCCCCGGCGTGGGACACGGGTCAGCCCCGAGGCCTCAGCACCCCGACATCCCTCCCCAAGCCCCCCAGCACCCACTGAGCATGCAGACCCACAGGTGACCAAGCTGCTGTCCCCATGGGTGCCGGGTCAGGGAGAGGCACTCGGCTGTGGGAAGCTGCCCCAGTTTGACGCTGGGACGGCCTGGTCCTGCCCGGTGCTGAGCATCCTCCGCTCCCCCCTGGCAAAGGTCGCTGAGGGGTCTCGTTACCTCGGACGTGGTAGATGGAGCCGAAATGAGGGGGTGGGCGGGAGAGCCCATAGTCCTGTCCTGAAAGGCAGAGAAGGGCAGGGGTGAGTGGGGGGCTGTGCCCCTCCATGGCCGAGCAGGAGAAGGGGTGGTCAGGGCAGGAGGGTGCCCAAATCAGTGCTCCCCTTCCCTGCAGCCCCTTCTGCGTGGGGGGGGGGGGGCTTGGCCGAAAGCAATTCCACAAGCCCACCGGTGGCACATGCAATGGACGCCGATGCACTGACACCTTCCCAAGGCCAGATCCACAGTCGGCACCATGCCACAACCTGCCACTACGCTGGAGTGAGCCCTGCGATGTTGCATCCCCAGGGAACCCCAGCTACTGGGGTGGCTGTTGGGTGATGTCCCCATGGGAGGCAGTGTCACCCCAGGGCTGGTGGCCGTGGTTTGGGATGACGTTTCCAAGGGGTGATGCAGCCAAGCTGTCCCCCAACAAGCAGGGCATAGTTGAGGGGTGCAGGGGAACTGGCTGGTCCCTCCTGGTGTCTCCTGGTGACCTCCTGAACCTCCCTCTGGGCTCCCAGCTTGTGCAACCCCACGCCAACACACCCGCCACTGGGAACTGGTCTTTCCCTCTGTCAGCATCTTCCTCCTCGCCGGGAGCGACCCGGCAGCACCTGCCCCATGCACAGCCCCGGGGAGCTGGGACCAGACCTGGCTCTACTTCTGCACCCGAAAACTGGGGCAGGCAGGGACTGGCAGCCCCTGCTGCCTGTACCCCAGGCTGTCCCATGGGTGCCTGTCGCACCCTGAGTCTGAGCACCCACAGACGGAGGAGCAACGATGGTTCCGGCAACCCCACAACCCTGCTGGGCTTTACAGTCACCCAGAAAGGGGGGTCCCACAGGGGCATGGTCCCCCCGCCACCCTTGTCCCCTCCTGCTGCTTCTGGTGACAGCCTGCCTGGCTTCCCTGCCTGCTCTTTGCAGGCAGCAAAGCCAGGGAAACAGCTTGGGCTTGTGCACGGGTTAAAGCCCAGCTGGCTTGATTTAGCCTTATTTTCACCCCCCCAGCCCCACCAAGCCCTCAAGGCACGTCCCGTCCCCCCCTTTTTGGCCCCCCCCCCAACTTGGAGAAACTGCAAATTTGGGGACCCAACAAGCAAGAAACCACTTCCCCAGCCTGCCTGCCCTGCGTTCCCAGCAATGCAGCATGGGGAGGGGGGCGAGACCTGCCTGGGTGCCCCCAGCTCCCAGCCCTGGGGTGTCCCCAACAGGGACAGTGCCACAGGGGGACAGACTCACCCCGGACGGCGACGCAGAGCGCAGAGGCCACGAGCCAACGTTGAACACCCATCCTCGCCTTCCCGGTTCACCCAGCACCACCAGCTCTCAACTTTAAGCTGGAGCCGGCGGTGGTGAAATCCGGCAGAGCCAATGCAGAAACTGGGGCCCTCCCCGGAGGAGGGAAGGAACTGGCATCATGTGGTGCCTGGCAGGGTGCATGGGGGGGCCGGGCACCCTGGGGTGCTCGACAGGGAGAGCATGTCTCGGCAGGGTCCCCGCAAAGGGAGATGGAGCAATGCTGGGTGCTGCAGGGGGACGGGAGGTGCAGGATAAGCCCCAAAGAACTACAAGCAGCATTGGGGGGGGGGTTGCAGACTGGACGGATCCGTGGGGGCCCCCCCCAACCTGGCAGGGCAATGGGGTGCTAGGGGCCGTGCGTCACCTCCTTGTGCAGGGGTGCAAGGGGAGAGCCTCCCTGGGGCTAGGGTGGTCTTTGCCAGGCAGCCCTGATGCCAGGGTGATGGGCAGGATGCAGTGCCCGTAGCAGAGGGCCAGGGCTGTGAGCGGCTCAGCATTAACAAACCAGGCCCTGAGACTGGGAGCACTGGGAACTCTTTGCTGGGAGGGGGGCTTGAATAGAAAGAGGGCTGAACCAGCCGTGGGGCACAGGCAAACGTGGGCACCCCACAGCCAGCCCCGAGGAGATGGGCTGAGCCACCCCAGCCCCCAGGGTTTGGGCAGAGGGCTGGAAACAGCACGTGTCACCCCTCGCTCGCTGCTCAGCCTCTATGACCACAAGGAGGGAAACTGAGGCACGGGGCCACAACCGGGCTGAAAGGGAGATCCTCGTCTACCAAGGCAAGGGAGCATTTCGTCTAGCAACACAAGGAAACCACCCGCCTTCCCCTAAACCTTTACCTGCCACTGAGGGCTTTGGGGGCTCCCCTGCCCCTCGCTGCCAGGGCTCCAGCCTCCCCCGGCGGTGGGAGAGAGATGGGGACACTCCTGGAGGGGGGGGGATTTATATGCCACCACCCCCGTTTCCATCCTCCACACACAGGGAGCAGGCAGGGAGCCCTCTTGGCAAGGCTGTCCCCCCCCCAAGGCAATGCCCCATGCCAGGCTGTGACCCCCCAGGGATGGGGGAAGCCCATGGCAGCCCCTCTCCCCACGGTTTGCCAGACTCACCCCTCCACGTGCTGCCTGCTCCCGAGGGGACGGGTATTCAGCATCTCTGACACCCCAGGACCTGCCCTGTCCCCTCCAAGGTGGCAGCACCTGCCCTGCCTTGTGCCAGAGCACCCTGCCAGCATGCAGGCAGCTGCGGTGGGGGGGGGCAGGCAGGGATCAGGCAGCTTTTTTCAAGGCAGAGGGTAAATACCCTCCCTGGGGCCGAAGCCATCCAGAAACACCTGAGGCTGCAATTTGGGAAGGGTCCTGGGAGCCCACGGGGGAGCCCGGAGGGGCTCATCGTTCTGCAGGTGACCGCTGCTGTGCCCTGTCCCCTCCCAGGGATGCTGGCAGGGCTGGCTCCATCCCCAGTGGGGTCTGGATCCCCCCTCAGCAAGTCCCAGAGAGCCCCCAAAGCCCCCAAAGCTGGGATTAAAGGGGAGCTGTGAGCCCAGGATGAGTCGGGGGGGGGTGACGAAGCGAGCGTGGCATCAGCCTAAGGGGCATGTCCCCATCCTGGTGGGGACCCCGGACCTCTGCCAGCCCTGCCTGTGTCCCCCCCCAGCCCCGTGAGAACAGGAAACGGACTCTGTCACACAGGAAAGAGGTCAGCCTGCAAGGGCTAACCACAGGGCGAGGAGGAGGAGGAGGAAGGCTCCAGAGAGATGGGAGAGGACCCCCCCAATCACCAGCATGCAATCCAGCCTGGCTGTGCTGGGAGACAGGGTGGCCAAGCCGGGATGCAGCCAGCTCCGGGCTGGAGCAAAACTGCAGCCCCCCCCGTCCTCCCCACGCACCCTCAGCCCCGCTTGGGAGCACAGCCCCCCCACCAGAAACTGCGGCGGGGGGGAAGGTATATAAAAATATCACCGGCTCCTCGTTGTCACCGTCCCCTGCAGCAGGGGGGTGGCTGGGGGCCGTGGGGCCATGCAGGATCAGGCCCAGGTGCAGCTGCAGGGAATATATCCAGCTGGGGAGGTTTTGCCTTGGAGGGGTGGCTGCCCAACACCCCAGATCGGCATGGGGGTTCCCCAGCGAGGGACCACCACCAAGACCCCCTTGATCCGGTAGTCGGGGTGCCAAAAGCTTGAAGTGCTCTCTGCAGGGTGGGTGCCCCAGTGCCCTGGACTGGGAGCCCAGGCAGGGTGCAGGGGGGCTCGGACAGGGTGCTGGGGGGCTCGCTCCCTCTCCCAGAGTTTGACAAAGTTTGTGGGTCGGTGTGACCAATGCCAAATCTTGGGGTCATCCCACCAGCAACTTTATCTGGACAAGGAGTAAATAAGGGGTCTGGTATCTGGTGGGCTATCGATGGCCACAGCAACTGCACAGGACCTGCACCCCCATCCCTGGGGGGACATGCAGGAGCCCCCCTGGAACATGGTTCCACGCTATCTGCCATCCGCCGGGCAAGGTGGGCTGCTCGCTGCCCCTCCACGGCTCTACCCTGCCCCAAGTTCACCACGTCCCGGCAGAGCCTCTGCGGCAGAGACCCTGTGCCAGGAGGACGGGTGGCTGCTGCGTGTGCTCTGCCGTCAGACCGACACCTTATTCCTGCCCCTCGCAGGGTCACAGCCCCCCCGTTTGCCATACGCTGTCCCCGTGCCATCCCCTGCCTGGGGATGCTGGCTCTGGGGGGGGTCAGGGGGGCAACTGGGCAATGCCAGGCTCTGTCTTGGGATGGGTGCAGGCAGCACCCCAGCCTGGCACAGCCTGCCTCCGGGAGCGGAGCTGGATCCCGCAGACCCGAGTATCCCCACGCACACCCCGTAAAATCCCAGCAGGCAGAGCCCGGGGGAGCCGCAGCAGTGTCCCCCCGTGCTGCTGGGGACCGAGAACCCCCCCGATGCCATCCCGTCCCCCGCCACGCCACCTCCACGGGCAAGCCATGGGCCCCAGCGAGCGGTGCCGGAGGGTGAGCCGGCGGCCGCCCCGGCTGAGCTGGCTGGTACAATGAACCATTGCTGGGAGAGCGGGGAGGAAGGGGGGGCGAGGGGAGGGGAAGCTCTTGCTCGGCTGCGAGAGCCGCCAAAGAGACAGGGGAAACACACGCACGGGCGCTCCCGCTCTCCCCGCGGCGTCCGCCTCGTCTTGCCCTGCCTTGCCACCCGCCTCGACACCTCGGCCCGGTTCGGATTGCTGCGGTGGCACCCCGGCCTGCGGTCCCGTCGGGAACTGGGAGCAGCGTGGGAGCGGGGGTCCATGCGAGCCGGAGCGGGGAGGGCTGACGGTAGGAGGGATGCACGGGGCTGGTTGGGGTATGGGGTGGGGAGGGGGGGCTTTGCCCCCTGCAGTGTGGGGGGTGTCTCTAAATCCCTTTGCTGTGTGCTGGGGGGGTTGCTGAGAGTTGCCCCCCCCGTGACGTGGGGTGGCTCTGGGTCCGCGGTGGGACGGGGCGCTGAGCTGTGGGCATGGAGGACCGCCGGTGGGGGGCTGCCGGGGGGGGTGCCACCAGTCCCTGCCCTTACTGCTCCCCCCTGGGCACCACCTCTGCAATGAGCTGGGGCTGGGGGGGGGGCAGGAGACCCCCATCCTCCCCATCCTGGGGGGCAGCAGGTCAGCGGGGTGGCAGCACGCCCGGGGCTACAGCGTGGGGAGGGCTGGGGGCAGCCGCCAGCTCCGGCTCGCCCTCCCGGCACTAATCGGCCGCGACGCCGCGGCAGGGAGGCCGTGGAGACAAATGGTGCTTTCGCCCACGCCGGACCCGAGTGCTGGGGAGGGGGCAGGTCACGGCACCCTAGGGGACACGGGGTTGGGGGGGACACGCACACCTGCTCCCCCCCCCAGCCCCGCAGGTGCCTGTGGTGTGCCAGCCCAGCAAGTGCTCACAGAGGGGGGGATGCTGGGGGGCTGAGGTCTCCCCAGCCAAAGCTGGGGGCAGCTGTGGGGGGCTCAGGCCCTGGCCGGAGCGGGCGCTCCCCCCCGCTGCCTGCAGCTCTGCCTCGTCCCCGGTCCTTGGTGTGTCCCAAGGAGGGACAGGAACTCGCAGCTTCCTGCCCTGCACAATTCCCTCCCCGCCCCGCTCCTCCTGGGACATTGTATTTGGAGCCCTGGCCGGCTCCCTCCCTCCGCCCCTGCAGCCCCTCGGATCCGGGAATTGCTCTTCTTCCAGCGGAAATCCTGCTTTCCCAGCCAGCGGTGGGGCTGGGAGGCTGGGGGGGGGTGGGGATCCCTCCACCGTGGGCATCTTCTCCCAGGGTAGGGGGTGAGGGACACCCCCTGCCATGGGCCTGGACGCTGGCGGGTGGGCTTGTGGGGGCAGATCGCTTTTGGGGGGGGTGGCGAGTCCTTCTTCTTCTGCCCCGGGGTGTTGGCGGCGGGGGGATGGTGTCCTGCCACCTCCTGGAGTTGTCACAGGGATGATGCCGGCTGAGCCCTGGCCATGCCCAGCTGGGACACAGCTGGTTTGGGGGGCCGGCAGCCCCATTTGAACTCTGTCCTGCTCGTGGACAGGCAGGGGAAGGGGTGTCCCTGCAGGAATCACCCCTGGAGAGTGCCTGGGAATAGCACCATGCCACCACCGCGCTGCCGATGGGCACAGCCGGCACTTCCAGCCCCATTACGTGCCCCAACCAGGTTGGGATGCCCCATTAGGAAACCCACGCTCAGGGGCTCCTCTTGCGCCTGTCGCCCTGTCTGCATGTTCCCGGCAGAGCATTGCGTCCCATCCTGCCGCCTCTGCCTGTGTCCCCGTGTCTCGCGGTGGTCTGGAGCCGTATGCTCGTGGTGTGGGTCTCTCCGGCCACAGCGGGACCCTGTCCTCAGGGAACCTGCTCCCACTGGGGCCGAGCTGGGACAGGGGCTGCTGTGCTCTGCTGGGAGCTTCCCGGGACTTGCTAGGCACTGGGTGAACTGGGGGACTAGACCAGGAGCAGGGATCTACCCCAGGGTCCTGGCTCCGGGTCGCAGGGCTGGACTTGGGGCTGGGGCCGGCGGGGAAGGAGCAGAGACATGCCACTGTCTGCCATCACGCGGAGTGGCAGGATGTGTCCTCTTGTCCTCTCCCCAGGTCTGGAGGGGTCCTGGGCACGGGATGGGGAGACGGCTCAGGGTCGTGTGTCCTAAAATGAGACACCTTCCCCTCCTGCACTGCAGCTGCATTGTGCTGCCTCAGTTTCCCCCCTGGGACCAGGGACGTCCAGAGCCATGGGGTGATGGAGGAGCCCGGGCAGGCTCCAGGCTGAGCTGTGCAGCAATCTCAGTTCCTCTTCCCCTGGGGAGGTTGCGGCAGGGCAACGAGAGCCACTGGGGTGCAGGGCCGAGGGGGTGGGACAAGGCATGGGGGGGGGCACAGGCTACCCAAGGGGCTGCAGCCACTGCTCAGTCCTGCCGCAGTCCCTGCCCAGTCCCCCCAGCTGCCACCTTCCCCAAGGCCTGGGATCCTGTCAGCCCTGAGGTTCCCCTTGGCGGCTGCAGCACCATCCTCTTCCTCGCCCTCCTCCCCCACGCCGTGCTCCTGCTGCTTCCTCCTCCTGCTGCGTGGGTGCCAGCTAGGTTCCTCTCGCAGCTGCCCCTCTGCCACCCACATGCTCCCCGTGGAGCTGTGGCACATCTGGGTGCTGGGAACCCATCCTCAGCCTGGCAAATACCACCCTGGCTTGTCCCCACGGCACTGGGTGCGTGACATTTCCAGCAGCCCCCATATCTCTCCGTGCGGCTGCATCCCCCCGGAGCCTGACCCCTCCGTTGCCGGTATTCTCCAGAGGGGAATGGAGGCAGGGGACGGGGGCGATCCCCACGGGGTGCCTCGGCACCCAGGGTGACACTCAGGGTGACACCGGTGTGCACCGGGACATCGCGCTGCAGCTCGGAGCTGGGGATGGGGCTGAACTGCCCCGTGTCCTGGGGGGGCCGGGGAGCAGATGGATGGGCGGCCGGGGATGCGGCTGCATCGTGCCCAGCCATGCCCGGCGGAGCGGGGGCAGTGGCAGGGGTAACAAGTTGGCTGGGTCTCAGCGCGGGGCGGGAGCTGGCAGCTCGGCCAGGACTGGTGCCGGTGGAGCTGGTGCGGGAAAGGCTCGGTTGCCATCTGCTCCCAGGCTCCAAGCAGCTCCTTTTCGGGAGAGTCGGGGCCAGACGCCAGCACGTAGCCATCGGACACGGGACCGGCTGCGTCCCCTCCCCAAGGACAATGCAAGGGGATGGGTTTTGTGCCACCCTGCCCAGTTGGGAGGTGGCAGGGACCAGCTCGGGGGTTTTGTGGATGCCCAGAGAAGGGGAAGCATGGATGCAACGCTGCTGCGCGGTGGCTTGGCATGGCACGAGCAGCGGCTAAACCCCGTGGTGCTGCGATATTTTGGGTTTGTGCTTGCCTAGAAGATGTTCCTTGCTTGCCCAGTCCCTGCCAGCAGCCGTGGCAGCACTGCTGTCGCGCTCGGCACAGAAATTTGGCAAAATGGGAAGTTTCTGAGCGCAATGCCAGCAACGGGGTGGGTGATTCCCACGCAGAGGGGACAGAGTTTGCGAGAGCTGGGGATGTTCATCAGCTGAAATAGCCACTTATTGTCAGCAAAAATAAAAACCCCAACCAGCCAGGCCCTCTCGGATTTGGCAATGCTGCCGTATCTGCAACGGCCACGATCTTGCCATACTGCTGGTGTCGAAAGCGAAGGTGAAAGGGGGAGAGCCGGGCCTTTTCCACCCCCCACCGAGAGAGAGGAAAGTGAATCAAAGACTGTGACGGGGGAAACCCGCCTGAATCATCTCATCCGCCCCAAAACCTCCGTCACCTCCTGCTCTCCGGAGCACAGGGGACAGGACATGGCTGCCGGGTGAAGCACGGCTTCACGGCACCTTCCCTCCGCTCTGGGGCTGGAGACGGGGCGAGCTCTGCGGTATCGCTGCAGAGCCCTCGACCGGAAAGTTCTGGCCAGTCCAAACTGTGCAGACTGGTGTGGGTGGGTGGCTGGCACCCAGGGGAGGTAACAAGGCTGGGGACAGAAATGTCTCCTCGCAGCCACGGCGGGAGAGGTCCGATTTCCTCCTCTTCCTCCGTGACACCTTCGCTGCCGAGTGCAGCTCCGGCCGGAAGAGCAGGGCCCTGACCGCAGCGAGGCGAGAAGGGCCCTTCCTTCCCCGAGACACCAGTTCCCCTGCCGAGCGGAGGGGATGGCGATGGGGACGCTTCGAGGGGCTCCGTTCCACCGAGCTTGGCTCTCCCTGCAGCCCTGGGGCAGCTGGGGGACACGTCTCCCCCCGCGGAGGAAGCTGACCGGTTTGTTGAGGACGTGGTGGGACAAACACCCACTCAAGGATGTGGTTTCAGCCCTTGCAGGGGTATTGCGGTCCGTGCAGGGGTGTTTCAGCCCGTGCGGGGCTGTTGCAGCCTGTGCAGGGCTATTGCAGTCCATGCAGGGCTGGTTTAGCTCATGCAGGGGTGTTGCAGCCCATGCAGGGGTGTTTTAGCTCATGAAGGGCTATTATAGCCCATGCAGGGGTGTTTTAGCTCATGAAGGGCTATTATAGCCCATGCAGGGGTGTTTTAGCTCATGCAGGGGTGTTGCAGCCTGTGCAGGGGTGTTGCAGCCCATGCAGGGGTGTTTTAGCTCATGCAGGGGTGTTGCAGCCCATGCAGGGGTGTTTCAGCTCATGCAGGGGTGTTTCAGCCCATGCAGGGGTGTTTCAGCCCATGCAGGGGTGTTTTAGCTCATGCAGGACTATTATAGCCCATGCAGGACTATTATAGCCCATGCAGGGCTGTTGCAACCTGTGTGGGAGTATCGCAGCCTATGCAGGGGTATCGCAGCCTGTGCAGGGGTATTGCAGCCCATGCAGGGGTGTTTTAGCTCATGAAGGGGTGTTGCAGCCCATGCAAGGGTGTTGCAGCCCATGCAGGGGGACTGCAGCCTGTGCAGGGGTGTTTCAGCCTGTGTGGGGCTCTTGCCCTCCGCCTGATGCCCTCCTCGGTGTCCACAGGTGCCACTTCTCCTCCCCGAGGTGACATGGAGCAGCTGAAGTGACCCGAGGAGCCGTTGCAGTGAGTGGGGTCGCTGTGGACGGGAGCACCCATGGGTGCCAGGGTGGCGTGGGGTCCCCCAGGCAGCACTGCCCTCCTCGCAGCCTGGTCCCTGACAGTGGCAGTGCCCGTTGGGGACCCTGGTGTCCCCATGTCACAACCCAGGCACCCAGCTTGCTGTGCCGGGAGGTGGCAGGACCCCACTCCTCCTGGCGCCAGCGGGGTGGGCACGGGCTCCTGTGTACACCCCAGTGCCTCTAACTGGGACCATGTGTGCACACACGTGTGCACACGCGTGTGCCCTGCCGGGGGGGGCGCAGGGCTCACGGTCCCTCTGTCCCGCAGGCCGTGCCCAGGATGGGGTGTGTGCACTGCAAAGAGAAGGGATCTGGCAAAGGGCAGGTGGGGGGTGAGGTGAGCCCCCCCCCACTCCCCACCTCCCAGTATGACCCCGACCCCACGCAGTCGGGCACCATCTTCACCCGCATCCCCGACTTCAACAACTTCCACGGCACGGCGGTGCCCTCGGCTCCATCCTTCACGGGGCCGGGGGTTTTCACCTCCAACACGCTGCACATGAGGAGCGGGGGCATCACAGGTCAGCGTGGGACCGGGTGCTGGAGGGGGGGGGGGGCCCGCTGTACCCCCCAAATGCCGGGGTGTGGGGGGGACCCGGGGGCTCACCACCGTCCCCTCCGTGTGCCGCAGGTGGTGGCGTGACACTCTTCATCGCCCTGTACGACTATGAGGCCAGGACGGAGGATGACCTGACCTTCCAGAAAGGGGAGAAATTCCACATCATCAACAACACGTGAGCCACCCCTGGACCCCCTGCCACACACAGTGCCCCCATGCCACCCTGGGGAGGTGCCTCCGTGCCACAGGTACCCCCCGCAGGACCCAGGCTGGGGACCCAAGCTCTGCCTCAGCTCCATTGCTGTGTACCTGCAAGAGAGCCAGGGCCACATGTGTCATGAGTTGGGCAGTCTCAGCAGAGACGTGTGCCCTCCGTGGCGGGGGAGAGCAGGATCTGGGGGTGCTGTGTGCGGGGAGGCGAGGTGCAGGGCAGCCAGGTCCGTCTGTCCGTCCCTCCTCCTCACTCTCGGTTCCTCTTTCCCCAGGGAGGGTGACTGGTGGGAGGCCAGGTCGCTGAGCTCGGGCACCACGGGTTACATCCCCAGCAACTACGTGGCCCCTGTGGACTCTATCCAGGCAGAAGAGTGAGTACAGGGGGGACAGGGATGGAGGCAGACCCCAACCCCATCTGCCTCGGAGCCAGGTTTCCTGGCATCCCCGGCGAGCCCCAGCAGCACCGTGGTGCTGGCAAGGGGCTGTGGTTGCGGGGTCCTGTGGGTGCCCCTCGGCGGTGCCCTCCCGGCGCTGAGCCCAGCCCCGCGGCAGGTGGTACTTTGGTAAGATCGGGCGCAAGGATGCGGAGCGGCAGCTCCTGTGCCACGGCAACTGCAGGGGCACCTTCCTCATCCGGGAGAGCGAGACCACAAAAGGTACGGGGACAGGGACGGGGACACGGGGGGGGCTGTGACCCACGTCCCTCCCTGACCCCCCCTGACCCGCACCCTCCATGTAGGTGCCTACTCCCTCTCCATCCGGGACTGGGACGAGGCCAAGGGAGACCACGTGAAGCACTATAAGATTCGGAAACTGGACAACGGGGGCTACTACATCACCACCCGCGCCCAGTTCGACACCGTCCAGCAGCTGGTCCAGCACTATATAGGTACGGTGGGATGGGGGGTACTGGGGGGAGCGGCATGGAGGGGTGATGGGGACGGGTAGGGAAAGCCCAGGAGACCCTTTGGCAAGAGGCAGCTGGCTGGGTTTAACTGGAGAAAGAGGGGGCTGTTCTGGTGGTGGCACTAGGGGACCCCCTGGGGGTCCCCCCTCTTCCGTGTCCTCGGTGCAGGGAACACCCGGCCTCTCCGGAGAAGGTAAATAGCTCCTGGGTCTGGGTGGGCATCAGCCGGGGGGGACTGGGGGTCCGGCTCAGCCCGAGGGGGTGCGGGACCATCCCTGGGTGGGGGGGTGCACCCCATTTATGTGTGTGCATGTCGGGGGGTGACTGGACCATGCAGGAGCCTGGGTGATGCCCGGGGTAGCAGGTGGGGGTCAAAGGGCTGGCGGGGGTCCGTGTCCGGGCTGATGCCTGTCCCCCCCACCCCGGTGCCGCAGAGCGGGCGGCTGGGCTGTGCTGCCGCCTGGCCGTGCCGTGCCATAAAGGAACGCCCAAGCTGGCCGACCTCTCGGTCAAAACCAAAGATGTGTGGGAGATCCCCCGCGAGTCCCTCCAGCTCCTCAAGAAGCTGGGCAACGGGCAGTTTGGGGAAGTGTGGATGGGTAGGGCCTGGCGGGCAAGCCGGGGCGAGCGGTGGGAGGGTGGCGGGGGCACCCCCAGGCCTGGCAACCCCCCCCCCCCCACCCACAGAAGGGCTCCTGCCTGCCGGGACAGGCTGAGCGACACCAGTTCGCCGGCATGGGGAAATGTCCCATGTCCTGCTCTGGGGTCACAACGGGTACCCCAGGATGCCCCATGAACATCCCTGCGTGGGAAAGCAGCCCCCCCC